TCGGCAAATAGCCTTCTACATTTTTATTATTATATTGGTCACATATTATGTCTGTACCATTATATTATTTGATATGTATTAATTTTTATGTTATCCTGTTCCACGGGGTAAAAATTGTAAAAAGACCTAAGGCCACACCAATTTAATTAGTTGAATTACGGGCAAAACTTTTGAAAAAAGCAGGGAGCAGGGGGGGATAAAAATAAAAAAAAAAAATCTGCATTTCAAGAAGACGAAAAAGGAATGTATTTAAAACTTTATTTATATCCTTTTGAAACAAACAACTTAAATTGAGCCTCAATGAATATATTGAAAAGATTAAAGGTGATATGTCATGTGTGTAATTATGCCTTTAAAACAAAATACACTCAAAATATATCTTAGATACAGGAAAGAGAATTGGCCGAAAGCCTTTAAAATGTCAAAGATAACACATATTAAATGCAAAATTAAAATTAAATTGTCTTAAAACTGCTACGGGTGTAACTATCTCTACATCGGTAGTTTCATGGTCTATTTCGATACCGGCTTTAACGCTGGAGACGGTTACTTCTTCTGTGTCCCGCCATCCGGAGCGCGTCAACAAATTACCAACATTTTCGTCATCAGAGGCACGCACTATAGTTCGTTTTGTGACACGGCCCTCGGTACATAATATGGAGACGTTGATATAAACATCGAGTTCAACGCTCATTTTCTCACATTTTCACATAGATGTATTTTCATTACAACAATTGAATAATGGCCGACGAGAGAATTTTTACAAAATTTGCAGACTGGAACGAACCAAATCACAAATCATGTGTTGTTGGTTTATTTTATTTTTTGAAAGGCTTTTCCAGATTTCCAGAACTAATCTCATAATACAACAAATTTTAAAACTATCTAGCCAACAATCAACATATTACAAACCAATTTATCTTTCGAATGAAAATAGCTTCGGTTCAAGATTTATTTTAGAAATTTGCAGGCACCTCATTTGCATAGTCGTACTTGCTTTGTAGTACCGTTATCAAAAACATTGTGGAACTAGTAGCCTTTTGTCTCATTAACACTGACTGACC